TTCGACTTTTTTCGATAACCTAGTACTTGGAATTTTTTTTGCCAGCATGTATCATAAAATCTTCTGGGTTATCGAGTGTGCTGAATACGTAAAAAGACTTTTTCGCGACTCTAAATGGACTTTATTTTGGCGGCAGTGATATGCTATATGAAATGGAGTTGAGATGATTTGCTCGATGTTATGGTTGCATTGAAATCGAATTATAATGAACTAAAGTGACGTTTTCATCTGGATAATTCAGTTTGTGACCGCACCGATGTTTCTTTACATCGTTTGCAGATGGGTGTCCTGCACAACAATGACCCTAGCAATCGTTTATAATCGTGAGATTTGACTTGTAATGTTGTTTGAGCATTTCCAAGATCGTATGAACAGCCATCTGTCCGTGAAAATAGAAACAGATATTAGTCAGATGTCAGCTCTTATCAGAACTCCTTATGTACTTAAATTTTCCGTTCAGTCCGAATCCATGGCTCAAAAATATCTGAGTCTAGGACTGTATCAAGATTTCACTCCACTTCATATGGAACTTTGGTTTCTTCCTATTAATGCTTCGCAGAGAAAATCAGAGCTAATCCTGTGTTATCAATATGGAAGAGAATATCCATGAGGACTATTCCAATAAAAAATAGCGTCTTAATCGCGAAAAAAATGTTATCATGTCCGTTGTCACACACCGATGTGTCGCGATAAGTATTATCGATCAGCATGAACCCAAGCGTCAAAAAAAAATCTAGTATCGCCCGATTCATCTAGATTACTAGATTTTTACTCGATTGCAACTACTGTGTAACGACAATGGAAATCGAGTAATCGGGCGATTACTAGATTTTTTCTAGTTGCAACTATCGATTTATCGCCCGATAATCGATCGATTTAGTTATTACTAGATGCACCTGCAGAAGCATCTAGTTAAAAGTCCCTTTTCCAACTAGTAATCTAGACGGCAACTAGTCGTGTATCGCCCGATTACAGACGAAATGTATCTAGATTTTTCGCATAGGTGATATTTGCTTGGGAACCGATGGCTCTGTTATCACGGGATAACCTGATCGGTGACTCACTCATACATCTCGATAACATACAAGTCATCGATTCATCGGAATCTGATAACGAATCCGGAAACTTCTTTAACGCGATAGTACCTGTTACAGGATGTCATTTCGATACATCCCGATAAAGTTCAATTTCGAGACATTTCCCAGTACTCATTTTACCTTGACATGGTTGAGCAGAAGAATGAGTCGGGCCATACTACAATAGTTTCTATGACTTCAGCACATCGCGATGTCAAGTATTACATTGATATGACCCAATAGAGTACCTCTATGGGGCATCCCACGCTACCTAACAACATCTGTAAACTAAAGAAACTTTGACAAAAATTAAACAAAAATTATTTTAGTAATACAACAAATAGTTTTAAGAATCACACAACAGATTAATCATCTCACAGCATCTTTGAAAAGGTTCACTTGTTTATTGAAAATGAGAACTGCCGGAGCCGGTATATTATCATAGGTCGCAAAAGACTACTTTAGGCCGTACATTTCACCTTGTGCTAAACATCCCATGATTCGTCATGCTTTGCATCACATATTCTCCAACAAAACATTTTCGAAGCGTGTATATTTAATCGATAAAAAGCAAAAGAAAATAACAAAAACAAACAGATGTCAAAATGGTTGAAAAGTAAGGTGAACCTATTTCAATTAGTTCAGAGAATATACAATGGGAAAGAGAAATAGAAATTGAGTTGAAGAGTGCATGCTTGTGAAAGCTACGGCAATCGTTTGACAATTGGTCATTTAAAATCCAATTTGAAATAACTTATCCAGTTATCCAATTTGGATCGCTGCAACTGATATCTGTCCTACTCGAGTCAGTTGCCGTTGGATATTTTGTTTTGCAATGACTGATATATGCCCTTTTGTCCTAACATGAACTACAATCACTCAAAAAGAGAAAACCATGACAACAACTACCACCACAAAACTGACCAAGAACTGTACTTCCGTCCAAACAACTATATCTCTTATTTGAACAAGGCAAACCAACACTTATCTGATGGGTGGAAATAGCCAGCAGGAAAGCAATAATAAATTTGTTCATTTTTCTTTTGAACAAAATTTTAACGTTGAAATCACAAGAGTCGTCTATCGATGAATCTACAAGAAGACAAAAACGAATATGTCCACTTTTAGCATAGGGTGGAAACACTGCATTATACAATCAATATATTATATAACAAAACATTATTCAATCAAGTATTTACGGCTTTTATGGTATTTTAGGTATTTATGGTGTTTTGCACTTGCGGCTATTCCTTTTTCGGTTAGCCATACCATTTGATAAAGGAAAAGACATTTCCCAACAGCCATCCACCTCGACTTTAGGTTTTTTATTTTATTTATGGTATTTATGGTATTTCAGGTATTTATGGTATTTTTGTTTTTCACGTTTTTGCGACCGCGTGGCTTCAAGAATTAAACACATCCGTATTTCTGACGCGAACAGTAGTAAAACGGAAGCTGATTTCGTAGAAATATTACGAACCGATGTAGGAGGGGGAGGGTCAGTGGGTAGTGAGAGTGAGTAGAAAAACAGCATTTCTGACTTTACTAATATATGAGGTAGGACCGATGTAATCGAATCTAGGAAAATTGTTTGTGAAAAGGTATGGTAAACGTCGGAGCATTCGTACCGTTCTTTCGAGATGTTATAAGGCGATTGGGTTTGAAGCGCTCGTAGTTAAGTATTATTTAGATAGTAACATTATCCAGTGTGCGGAAAACTAGAAAAAAATGACACTTTTTAAGACAACATTTTCAGCAATGTTGTGGAACATTGAAAGTGATCTCACTATGTAGTCATCATACCGTGCCTCACAATAGACTAACGAGGGCAAGTCCCCAACTGTCCAGAAGCTTTTGGCCCAAAACTTAGTGGACAATAGGTAATGGAGTGTCCTGATTCCGAATGTTACATTGGTTTGGGCCCAATTTTAGTTTAAAGACCCAGGTTTTGAAATACTGGGTTTTGGGGTCGAAAAACCATTTGCAATAAAAACTTTTTGATCCGTGAATATGAAAGTGCATATCGCGAAACCCACGTAAAACTGTTTTTCAAGGTTTTAGAGGAGGTTTTGAGCGGGTTTTGAAAGACTAAAACTTAAAACTACACCAAGGAAAACACGTTTTCGCACTTATGCGTTTTGTGCGATAAAAATACTGTTTTCTAGGTTATCGAACGTGCCAACTTCGAATATTCCATTGTTTTCAGTCCTCAGAAAAGCCAAAGATTTGGATTTGACGGAGACAATAGTTCAAACTCCACATATTGGGCTCTAAAATTCATTACAGCAAACCAGTCAAAAGACGAAAATAACCCGAATCCTAACCGAAAAATCCACTCATTTTCAAACTCTATACGTATTTCCTATTGCAATACGCCCCATCACCGGACCCAACTTTATTCTTGATGGACCCAAGTAGGACTCATGGAGCTCTACAAAATTCACCCTTGACTTTTGTCTTTTCGACGAATAGTTAATGAGAAAATCGCTAAGTACTTTTCATACTCTATATGTAATATATATACAAGTGAGAAAATCAAATAATTTGTGCCACGATTCGCTATCTCACTGGACCCACCTTTTCCCTTCATGAATCCAAGTAGCACTCATCGAGTTCCATTGAACCGCTTGGTAGCTCGAGCACTTCGATGATCACATTGCTCGATAATTCTGCACTTACTAGTTCATCATCTATACCGCCGTTGATGGCTCTACCTGTCACTTCTGTCTCAATTACAGACCTGCGAAGATCCAAACGGATAATCAAGGCGGTCAAGCGGGACGGAATGGTCAATGCAAATCTTTCATAAATTTTACGTATATTATGACCGTGATCCCTTCACATTCTTTTCCTCAGTCTCTTCTCTTATTCGCTTTTTCTTGGATACCAAGATGTGTTTTTCTTCCTTTCTTCTCTTTTTCATCTATTTCTTTTCTTTTTCTCGTTCTCTTTCTTCAGGTATCTTCTTTGTTTTATCGGACAAATACTATACGATATCGTAGTTTTCATATCGATTGACCTTGGCCACTCTCTTTTTTATTTTATCAGACTATACGGCATCATAATTTTTATTTCAATCAGCCCTCACCATTTTTCTTTTGCAAATACTAACAAAAACACTCAAAAGAACACGGTAAGCCTACATATTTTTATCTAATACAGTACAAAATGAGTGTACCTGTTGCTGATGCCAGCTCACCCTTTTCTGATATTTCGGATGATAACACTTTCGACAATCCAATTGAGAGAACAGCTCAATATATAGCTAATTTAACAATATCAGAGGATGATCTACCCGATTTGGCGGCACTGTTTCGTCGACGTACAGTTCACTCATCATTTCAAAAAGCAGTTCTGGATAAAGTGTGTCGCATTCACCATTATTCATTCCTCAGAATGATTCAATAATTATCAGTAGAGGTCGTTATCGCATCAGATCGTCTGAGAGTTTGATTTAATAATCGTCGTCAACGATATAAATGTCGAGAACCACTCGTGCGTATAGCAACTCGCACATTCTCACCTCGTTCTGGATGCGTTTTAACACGCTTTCCAATGCGGATTATGACACAAGTTACATCTGCAGAGGAACCGTATCCCGTCACTGCACTATGAAATCCATCAGCCACGATGGCTCGGAGTTCGATTAGTCGCCAAAATCCCTCCGTTTAACCGCCTCCAAGTAGTGTGTCACGGTTATACCCCTCATATAATCGACCAACCTCAACCGACTCAGCCGGGACAACGACATTAGTCATACACTACTAGATAACACGAAACGTAAATAAAACATACAAACAAAGAAAAAGAACAAAACGAAAGAGCATAGCTCACACTTGCGTTCATTCATATACACTCAGTATCTCATACATATATATACGCTACCAAAACACAATCCCCATCAAAGCACTACATTTTATTACAATGTCGGTAGAACTCGAACTTCTCCCCTCAGACGACGCACTACCACTACTTGACGCTCTTGCCGCACCATCTGCACCAACTGCGGCCCTATTAACAGCATTAGCTTCGTCTACGGTACTAACCAGTACACTATCGACACCGATTGCAGCCGGCAAACCACCGACACTCGATCCTGGCGCTCTACCAACAGCTAACACCGTTGCAACTTCTGCTGTATCACAGTCACGGGTACCGCGTTTAATGGATATTCGAGTCCCGTTAATGTCTATCACTCCATGGTTCCCACTATATAGTCAATGCTACCACCTACGACTGATCACGCAAAGGCGTTATGATGCGTAACTTAATTGCTTTTTGTTTTTGTTTGCTTTTTTACTTTTCGCACTTTTCTGCATATCCTCCTTTATGTGTTTAGTTCTCGTTCGTTGCATGCCGGTCTATCAAATGCTTTTCTGTTCATTTGTTTGGGTTATTTTTGTTCCTTTTTGTTTTAATTTCTCGCTGAGTTTTATTGCATGTTTTTAGGGACTTACATGTCTCTCTGTCGTTCTATTCACCGTTAATCTAGCCAGAGTTCGATTCTTCACATAGCTTCTATTCTTTTCCAGCATCTCTTGCGTTTGATGATATGTCACTTAGTCGTGCAGGAGCACTTCCCTCTTGAGGGGAGGGTGTAACGGATATTCGCTATTCTCCTCAAGAATTCTATCCTCCTCATCCTCTTCTCTTATATTCATTTATCTCATCACTGCTTACGTCGTCCGTTAGAAAACGATTCTACGTCATACTCCTCATAATCATGTATCTTATCAGTTCTTACGTCACTTCCTACACTCACACATCAGAAATATATATATATATGTGGTGTGTTGTGGAGGAGAGTGGTAGAAATAGAAGAAAGGAGAAGGATAAAGTGGTCCTTGTTTTTTATTTGGTGTTTTTCTTTGTGTTTGGTTCTATCTGCATGCGATGTACTGAGTAGTATTCAAGTATAAAATAAAGTTTGAAGAAAAGTTTTGGTCACAATGGAAGGTAGTTGTTTTGAGAGCAATCAGTTTGTCGACAACACGAGATTCAAATTTTTTCTAGAGTACTTGCACTCGTCAAAATCTCCTCATGTAACTCATGCACAAGAATAACAACGTTTTTGGCATGCTTTAAAACTTGCCGAGTACTTTTCAAAATTTAAATAAGTAAATCAAGAATATCTTATCTTTTAAGTAATCTAAATGTTTGAGCACTCAAAAAAAACAATGAGTGAAATTATACGGAGAATTGTTTTCTTGTTAGCTACCTGTTTCCAACCAAGGCTTTTTAATTACGATCACTTTTGGATAACATGTGTAACATAAAAATTAATATCAAAGAAGATCATAGGGCGGGAAGCGCAAAATGAGACTGAGTGAAAAATAGTGATTTCAGCTAAGAATGAGCCGTTTCTAACACATAATACATGTGTTGTCTCCCACATAACTATAGCTTAGGCGTTTGGGTTTACATGGACTCATTGTCTATACAGAGAAGAAATGAAAAAAACGT